CAGAGGTCCAAGCAGGGTTCAGGAAAGGAAGAGGCACTAGGGATCACAGTGCAAATATACGATGGCTAATGAAGTGTAGCAGCGAGTTCCAAAAGAAAATCAGCATGTGTTTTATAGACTACAGCAAAGCCTTTGATGGCATAAATCAGGGGTCAGCAACTTAAGGCCTGCGGGCTGGGTGCGGCGTGCAGAGGCCTTCTGACCGGCCCCTGCCCAGTCCTGCTGCCGCCACCGCTGCCGCCTTTCCACCTTCCTCTCGGAGGCTCGGCGTGGTCAAGGGGGTCCGATCTCTCAAAAACAAGCTATCTCCAAATATGAGAGATGATAATATGAGGACCCCAAAATAAAGCTCAGGGTATTCAGGGGTGCTTAACAAAACACACACACAACCAGCACTGGTTTTCTTTCTCCACCACTGCTGTTATTATGGCATTACTGACTCTGCCTTCTTCAGGGTGCATCTGCACTGTAGAAATAATGCACTTTGACAAAACTTTAAATCCGGTACCTCCCTCCTATGGAATCCTGGGATTTGTAGTTTTATAAGGTGTTTGCCTTCTCTGCCAGATAGTGCTGGTGCCTCATAAAACTACAAATCCTAGGATTGTGTAGGTGGAGCCATGGCAGTTAAAGTGGTGTCAAGCTGCAATATTTCTACAGTGTAGATGCACACTCAGTCCCCTATTTTAAAAAATCCCTTTCCCCAAATCTTCCAGCTTCTTGTTTTCTGTGTGTCTCTCTGTCATGTAAATACCCCACCAGTGCTGTTTACAGACTAATACATACATGGCATAGATGCTATTGAGGATTTGTTTTGTGCCAGGTACTTCTACTTTATGCTCCATCTGGAACTCCAGATAACAGTGTTTGCTTAGGTCTTATTAATGCTCTTTCTGTCATCATGACCTCGGATCTCTTTCCTGGGCCATAGCAGCTGCTGTTGTCAAACTTGTCTTCCTCATCCCTTCTTTTTAGATATGCATAGTTTTTAAAGGGAAAGGACATTTAACTTGACAATAACTGAAACTGGAGAATAAGGAATGGAATTAAAGGCTTTGCTACACTGCTAGGCTTTCAGGTTGTCCTTTCAGGTTGTTTTAATCAGAATCATAGAGCTGGAAGAGACCTCAAGGGCTATCCAGTCCAGCTCCCTGCCATGCAGGAATACACAATCAAAGCATCCCCAACAGATGGTAATCCAGCCTCTGTTTATAAACCTCCAAAGAAGGAGACTCCACCACTCCCCAAGGAAGTATGTTCCACTGTTTAACAGCTCTTACTGTTGGGAAGTTCTTCCTAATGTTTAGGTGGAATCTCTTTTCCTGTAATTTGTATCCATTGCTGCATGTCCTAGTCTCTGGAGCAGCAGAAAACAAGCTTGCTCCATCCTCAACATACCTTCAAATGGTGTCAGGATCTGTGGACTAAGGGCCTCGGCAGATGACTAATAGAGTCGTCTCCGAGGCAGGGAAGAGGAGGGGCAGCCGCATGCTCAGCGCCCCTTCCTCCTCCTGAGGTTGCCCTTGGAGCTGCCGGCCCTCCGCACGGCCGGTGCTCCGAGGGCAACCTCCCGCCGCAGCGTCCACACACGCTGCGGCAGATAAGTCAGGGAAAGTGCGCCCTACGCCCTCGTCTGCTTCCCCCCTCAGTTCCCAATAACCAAGAAAGCATCTTATTGTGGTAGAAAACAAAGGACTTTTATTCTGGACATCAAGTCAGAAGTTTATAGTCCTGAGGTTTTTGCCAGAATTGGAGATCTGTTCCCCTTACCATGGCATTAGAGTTCCAGCAATCCAACCCTTCCTGGCTCTGGGCACTAGGCTTTGATCCTCTTCAAAGCACCCTGTACAGTCCCTTCATCTCCCCTGAGGATGGAAGGAAAGTACCTCTTCTTTACAACCTGTATCTGCTGTAAGAAAGATGGGGTCATAAAGCTATAAATCCCCTTTGTTCTGTTGTCCATTTGTCCCTTCTGTTATTTCCCGTGCTCAGAATTCCTACATTATTAATATCCCATGCATTTCAATATTTCATACATACATCCTTCCCAATAAACCATCATGACAGAACCATGCATATTGGTCTGACATTGGGCTGTCAAATCACCTCTTAACCTTCTCTTCTCCAGGCTAAACATACCTTGTTCCTTAAGTCTCTCCTCATAAGGCATGGTTTACAGACTTTTCACCATTTGAGTCACCTTCCTCTGGACACGCTTGTCCATGTCCTTTTTGTATTGTGGTGCTCAGAACTGGACACAGTATCACAGGTGAGGCCTGACCAAAGCAGAATAGAATGGCACTAGATCTAGACACTATACTTGTATTGATGCAGCTTAGAATTGCATTGGCTTTTTTAGCTTTTTTTAAGCTTTTTTTAGCTGCTGCATCACACTGTTGACTCATGGTCAACTTGTGGTCTATTAGGACTCCTCGATTCCTTTCACATGTACGGTACTGTTGTCAAGCTAAGTATCCCCCGTTCTATATCTGTGCAATTCATTTTTTTGCCCTAAGTGTAGTACCTTACATTTCTCCATCTTGAAATTCATTTTGTTAGTTTTGGCCCAGCTTTCTAATCTATTAAAGTCATTTTAAATTTTAAATGAAAACACAACAGGCAGGAAAATGGAGCAAAATACCATTAAAAGAGTCAAACAAATAGTGACTGTTATGCAACAATATATAAGTTATTATGTATTTTAGGTAAATATTATATATTGCTTGATGTGTGTGTTGTTCTGCCTTCAAGTTGTTTTTTATTTAGGTGATCCTAAGGAAAACCTATCAAGGGTTTTTCTTGGCAAGGTTTGTTCAGGGGAGGTTTTCTGTTGCTTTGTCCTAAGGCTGAGAGCATGTGATTTGCCTAAGGTTACCCAGCAGGTTGCGCTGAGCAGTTGAACCCTGGTCTCTAGACTTGTAATCCAACACTCAAACCACTACACCACACTGGCTTTCTGTATACCTAACAAAAATGTTTATTTTACAAATAAAACTATAAATGGTGTAAAAATGAAATATAAATCACTGTAAGAACTACATCAAACCATTTCATTCTAAACCAAAAATGAATCATCAGCAACACTTAAAATACAGGCACGCATAATTATTTACTTAAATACATTTTTTTATTTCAAGGTTTTAGCTTTTTTTAAAAAAACAACAACAAATAAAACATACTTGGTGACCGATAAACATATCCAACTGTTGCTTTTCCCCCTTCTCAAACTTTTTATTTCATAATTCAATTATTTGTTGTCAGCAGGGTGTAGTGGTTTGAGTGTTAGACTAGGACTGTGGAGGCCAAGGTTCAAATCCCTGCTTTGCCACAGAAACCCACTTGGTGACCTTGTTGTCATCTGCAGCCCTCAAGTCGATTTCAGCTCATGGTGACCCTGTGGACGAAACATCTCTGAGTCTCTCTGCCCTCCACTGCTTTGCTCATTTCCTGCAGACTCATGTCTGTATCCTCTCTAATTGAGTCTAGCCATCTCAAACTTTCTCAGCATTATTGCCTTTTCCAATGAGTAATGCCTTCTCATGATGTAGCCAAACTTTGACAGACTCAGTTTAATCATCTTGGCCTCCAGGGGTATTTCTGGCCAGATTTGCTCAAGGATCCATTTGTTTGTATTTCTGGTTGTCCATGGTATCCTCAGCACTATTCTCCAACACTACATCTCAAATTAGTTGATTTTCTTCCTAGCTGCTTTTTTCATAGTCCATCCCTCACATCAGGGGTAGGCAACCTAAGGCCCGGGGGCCGAATGCGGCCCCCCAAGGCCTTTGGACCGGCCCCAGGCCAGTCCTGCTGCCGCCGCTACCGCCACCCCCCCGCCGCCGCTGCCTGCCATGATGGTATTGATTATTGTTGTTATTACTTGTTCTTGGGGTTTTCTTGGCACAATCTCCACAGGGGTTTTTGCCATTGCTTTTCTGGGGCTGAGAGAGTGTGCATGCATATTTTTTAAATTAAAAAAAATTAAAAATTTATTTATTTATTTATTTATTTATTTTTGGTGCTTCGGCCCCCCAATTGTCTGAGGGACAGCAACCCGGCCCCCATCTCAAAAAGGTTGCCTACCCCTGCCTCACATCCTTACATAGTGACTGGAAACACTATGCCTTGGATGATTCTAATTTTGATGCTCAGTTTTTATCTTTATTCTTTAGGATTTTCTCTAGCTTTTTCATGGCTGCCCTTCCCATTCCTAATCGTCGTATTATTATTTCTTGACTGCAGTCCCTATTCTGGGTGATGTTTGATCCCCAGGTACAAGAAATCTTTATTTCAAATTCCGCATTGTCTAATTTGAATTTATGTAGGTCCTCCATGGTCATTGCTTTTGTTTTCTTTATGTTCCGTAGCAGGCCTGCCTTTTCACTTTCTTCTATGACTTTCTTTAGTAATTGTTCCAAGTTATTGATGTTTTCCACTATTAATATTGTTTTGTGCACATATCTTTAGTGACTGTTTGTCTTTTTGGCTATACACAGTATTCTCACCATTCTTCTCCAGCACTAAATCTCAAATGAGTTTATTTGGCTTTCTGCACTGTCCAACTTTCATATTTGTACATGGTGATGGGGAATACAATGGCTTGGATGATTCTGACTTTAGTGCTCAGTTGTGTATCTTAATTCTTTAGAATTATGTCTAGTTATTTCATAGCTGCCCATCCTATTCCTAATTTTCTGACATCTTGAGTGCAGTCTTCATTCTGGACAATGTTTGATCCAAGTAACCATTTCTATTCCCTCATTGTCTAGATCGAATATATGTACCTATTAATATTGTCATCTGTATAACTGGACTGGATAAATGGTAAACTAGATAAGATCTGTAGCTCCAATTCACAGTCAAATTCATATGACTGTTAGATAAAGAGCTGTGCATTTTAATCTAAGAGTTTTCCCCTCCTCTAGCAGATTCTTTTCAAAAGGAAAGATTTGGCTTTTAAAAGGAATTTAATGGTGAGGAAGGATCAAACCAAAGAGATCTGATGGATCAGGCCAAAACCTTCTTGAATCAAGTGTTCTTTACTCTGCTGTGGAGAAACCAGATGCTCCAGTGGAAATTTCACATGCAGTCATGGTCTTCTGCACCATTTTTCTGCTCATATTTTCCAGTAACTGATTGTGAGAGGCAAACTGGATTTTAAAAATTATATAATTTAATATTGACAAACAGGAGTCAGTGTGGTGTAGTGCTTTGAGTACTGGACTAAGATACTGTGAGACCAGGGTTCAAATCCCTGCTCAACCTATGAAAACCATTGGATGACCTTAGGCAAGTCACTCTCAGCCTCAGAGGATGGCAAAGGCAAACCCCCCTGACCAAATTCTGCCAAGAAACCCCTGTGATGGCGGCTTTAAGGTCTCCATAAGTCAGAAATGATTTGAACATAACAAACAACAATAAACATTAAAGCATAAAAACATAATTCATAGTGCCAGACAAGGGAAAATTTAAGCAATAACTTTGCACATCATTTACATATTATATGTTAAAACTTGTTTTTCTGATAATTGTAATGCTTTCAGGAGGTCCATATGGAGGGATTATTTTGTTTGCAAAGATAATAAAATGATAACAAGACAATTTAGCTCTATCCTTGATGGTTACTCCTCTCAAACATATATAATTTCTTATAAGTTATTTTGCTAACACATTGTTCCAAATCCTGTCCATCCATCAACATATGGAAAGACCTTCCAAAGTTTTTCAGTGCACAGCTATATTCTGTCTTGCTGCCAGAAGTAAGGAACAGAGCAATTCCTTGCACTGGTGTATTGTGCTTGACCTTGAAATGCTAATAATAGTAATGCCCCACTTTTAGAAATTGTTTGATGTGTGTGTTACATTTTGTAGTGATTCCAAAACTGGGTTTTCTTAGGACAGGTTAGATTCCAAATTTGGGTTACCTTATGACAAGTTAGATTTTTACCCATTATTGTTCCTTGTTCCTCATGATTTCTCCAACATATTGGGAATATGTTTAGACATGTTCAGTTACTGGTATCCAGTGCATATAATTTTAATACAATTTTGCATTGTTTTGCAAAAGTAGCTTTATAGCTTAAAGGCTGCCATACATTGCTCCAACTGATTTATTTCATAACTGATCTGGTTTATTTCAAAACTGAAATATTTCATAACATGAAATATTATCACTAATATTTATTCCAATGTCATTTTCCCTTGGCACTTCTATCTGCATTACTGGCTAATATCTAGTTTGAACCATTCATTTGTATAGTTAGTACAAGGGTCCTCAAACTTTTTGAGCCACGGGCTGGTTCGCCATCCCCCAGCTCATTGGAGGGCCGAAGTTAAAAAAAATGGCGGCCAGGGGCGCACGCACGCATGCGCGCACACCTCTCCCTTTCTCTTCCCGTCCTGCCCCAGGACTGGGGTGGGGCTTTGCGGGCGACGAAGAGAAAGGCCACTCACGCCCGGCTCCAGCTGCCATTTTGGAACATATATATATATATATATATATATATATCAATAACCACACTGTCTCTTTTCCTCTGTTTTATTAGCCTTGCATAGTGGTTGGGTCTCAGACAGAGGAGACCCGAATTTGAATCCCTGCTTGGCCATGGAAATCTACCAGGTGGCCTTTGGCAAGTCACACTCTTTCAGCCTCAGAGGAAGACAAAGGAAACCCCTCCTTGGAACCAGTTCTGTATTTTCCAGATATATATATATATATATTGTTCATCTCATCATCCAATTAAAAAAATGTATTAACTGAAATATAGCAAAGTACAAAAACTGCAAGAAAAAATGTAGGACACAACAAGGCAAAAGTTTTTTAAAAACAAACAACAACAAAAACCCACTCATAGATAAATGCACAAGCCCCAAATGGAGGTCATTTTGGAAATCCCTCTCCCTCCTGCACAGGAGACAGAAAATGTAGGCCGCGTCATCAACAAATCATCATCATCATCATCAATTCATAAAACTACCTTAAATCAAACAAACAAGCGCAGGGCCATCCTGCTGAGTAACCTTAGGCAAGTCACACTGTCTCAGCCTAAGAAGAAGGCAATGGCAAACCCTCTCTGAAGAAATTTTGCCAAGAAAACCCCATGATAGGGTCGCCATAAGTTGGAAAGGACTTGAAGCCACACAACAACAAGGGAGGCAATAGCAGTAGCAATGGCAACTCACCCCCCGAACCAACCTCTGGGCTCTGGGCTCTCTCTACTCCCTCGCGCACTCCCTTAGCACTCTTCTATTTATGCGGAGGAGGTGGAGGAAGAGGCAGAGGGCGAAGGAGGAGGAGGGTTTGCGACCCAGCCGCCATTTTTTGTTCCAAAATGGCAGCCAGAGTCGTGCACATGTGCGCCCAGGGTCATGCATGCGCCAGAAAGGCAGCGGCGGCGGGACCGGACATGGGCTGGATACAAGGCCTCGACGGGCTGGGTTTCGTCCACGGGCCGTAGTTTGAGGACCCCTGAGTTAGTATGTCGTCATAGACAAGTGAAGGCCTAGGAGGTCAGGGGGGGAAGAGGAGGAACAGGCGCATGCCTCTTCCTTCTCCTCTCCCCTTGCCATCCCCAGTGTCACTTGCCTCCAGAGAGGCAAGTGAAGGCCGGGGAGGGTCTGGAAGGAAGAATAACATGCGGATGCCTCTGCCTCCTCCTGCCCCATGCCGTCCCCACATCTTCCTCCTCCTCCCCACCCTCCATGTGCTGGAGAAAATGGCTTTGCATGTGATCTCTGGCACACGCGCCATAGGTTCGCCATCACAGACATAGACTGTATTTCTTTGGGCTGAAGAACACGAACCGGAAGGAGAAGACTTTGTGTAGCCTCAGAGTGGCTTCCAGCTGCTTCAGGGCATATGCCATCTAAATGCCATGCCCCCAAAATGGCTGGAAGCTGCATTATTTGGCCCGTGCATTTTGGGCCTTTAATAAATGAATTATAGATAGATAGATCGATAGATAGATAGCTATTAGTCTTGGTTTATTAGATTTTCTAATTAGCTCTATTAGATGTTCTATCTAAAGGTATATAAGGTCTAGTGTCTCCTCTGTAAACAATAGTTTCTTCTGTAAATTTGCTTTGTTCCTGTAACATATGTTCCATAAATTGCATTTGTCTCTTTTTTTGGTGCATAATAGGAGCTTAATGTTGTTTTTATATTTCCTTAGGATCTGTTGCCAAATATGTATCTCCCTCTTTATCCATATTTCTCTATATCATCAACTATATCCAAATATCCATATTTCTCTATATCATCAACTATATCCAAATATCCATATTTCTCTATATCATCAACTATAAATGAGCAATTTTTGCAAGAATCAT